AAACAAATCATGCCAAGCGTCCAATACACGTCAACTGGTAAGTAAGTAAGTAAGTTTATTCAGGTATACACAAATACAGTTACATAGAATTATCATACATAGCAGCATATGTGTAGAGAACCTAGGATAACCCAAAAAAGTCAGAGAGTGACTTATTTCCATTGGGCGAGTCTAATATTCTTTCCCAAGTGCGCCAATATTATTTATACTATTTTTTACACTAATGCAGTAGTCTGCATAACAGTAAATTTTCTATTTTTTGTGAGAATAAAAATTCAAAGTGGAAAGCAAAAGAATATAAGAGGGGCCTTGAGACGTGACTAATGAACAGAGGAAATGTCATTTTAGTGCCAGGAATGTCTTTCTTGTTTATTCTGGACCCTATTAGGAAATTGGCATCTTTTAAAATTGCTAAATTCTGACCACTGTACTGGATAGTTCAAATTGATAAATGGGTGGTTTCTTGCACTCATTCGATAGAAAAAATGGAGTTCTAGCGAAATATTCATGTTTTTTGTCGACTAGTACAGTGGAATTGGCGAAAATGGGGCTCAAAGTGGGCAAAATCGCCGATGCGTAAACATCGCCAAGACCGCTAACTTCGCAAGAGCATAATTCCCTAAGTTTTCCATCAAATTTCAAACTTTTGGTGTCATTATGATCGGGAAAAGATTCTCTATCTTTTCATAAGAGAAAATTATTTTTTTTTTTTAAATTTGGCCGACCCTGAGAACGAGTCTCGGAGAGGGCCTGCCGACCCTCAAAGGGTTAACATCTTCTGGTAATGAATTCCATATTTTGGGGCCCTTTATGTGCATAGAGTTTTTACAAAGTGTGATATGGACACGAGGTATATCAAAAAGAGATCTGTGTCTTGTGTTGTGGTCATGTGTCCTGTTTAGGTTGGGTTTAGGTTTAGGCCACCTTCAACCACCCACACACCACAACAACCTGCACAACCACAACCATTTGTCAATATCCAGTACCTACCAACAGATCGCATCTGGGATTGGCAGCAGGGTGTCAATCAGTGCCAACGAGTGGATATATATATACGTTATGTTGATGGCAGCTGTTGTTGCCATCAATGGCTCACTTTGTCAACCTCACGCGTCTATATCTCGGTAACTACCAAACGCAAGAAAAATTTTTTCTTTTAAAACACTCAGAAAAATTTTCTTAAGATTTTGTTAAGAATTTTTTTTTTTGTAATATTTTTTGACACTAAGAGCATCAGGAGTCTTAACAGTGAAAGGGTTAAACTTAAATGACATTTCCATTATACCCAATACAGTTTATTAAAGTTTTTAAACTTTCTTGATATGGTGAAAATAACAAACAAGTTAGGTAAGAAAACACTGGATATTAGATTGGAGGGCAGGAGGATGCAGGAAGTGAATGTGTTCAGATATCTGGAAGTGGACTTGTTAGCGGATGGGTATATGAAAGACGAGATAAACCATGGAATTAATGAAGGAAAAAAGGTGGATGGAGCATTGAGGTTATCTGTGAAGACAAAGAATGTTATCCATGGAGGCTAAGAAGGAGTATAGTGGTACCAACATTCTTATATGGGTGCGAAGTATGGGCTGTGAATGTTGCAGCAAGGAGGAGGCTAGAGGCAGTGAAAATGTAATGTCTAAGGGCAATGCATAAATATTATGCAGAGAATTTGTAGTGTGGAAATTAGGAAGCCACTGTGTGGCGAAACGTTTCCTGAATAAAGATTCCCATGTTGCATAAGTGTCTCAATCTTCAACTTGTCGGTTTTTCAAACCATTCATCACAACTGTCAGACACTGCAGCATCATGGGATCTTGTTACAAAGAATTCTTCAACACTTGTCCAACCTTAGGACGAAGACCTACTTCGACTAGTGGATACCACTATGACCCCACCTCCTCCTGCTTCACCTCACCTCACTACAGTACATAAGCCATGTCTACGGCCCTATGCTGTACATTCTACAAGATTGATGGACTGAACACATTGACTCCAGGCTGAGGGACTGATTACCTCAAACTCCTCCTCTCCTTATGCCTTTTTACTTTGTACTGGACTGATGAAGCCACTGTGTGGCAAAACGTTTCCTGAATAAAGATTCCCATATGTTGCATAAGTGTCTCAATCTTCAACTTGTCGGTTTTTCAAACCATTCATCACACGCATCAGCCTGCCTCCCACCGGGACACCGGTGCATAGGTGAGTCAGTCTCCCTGTGTCTCTTGGTGAATGAGCATATATTCCATGCAGTCATCCAAACATTTCTTTAAAATCCATTGGTTTTTGTGCTTGTTTAAATGCAACTGTGAAATAAGCCACCATGAGCCCAAAGAAAGTTCCTAGCAAAGTTCCTTTTGTAAAGAAGGTGAGAAACATGATGGAATTTAAGAAAGAAGTAACTGAAAAATATGAGAGTGGTGTTAGAGTGTTAGAACTTGCCAAGATGTATGGGAAATCCAAATCAACAATCAATTCTATCCTGGTAAAGAACAAATCATGGAAACTGATGTGGCAAAAGGGGTAAACATGTTAACAAAAGAGAGATCACAGATAATGGAAGATGTAGAGGGAGGCAGGGAGTGTAGCATGGAGGGAGGGAGTATAGCAGGGAGGCAAGGAGTGTAGCAGGCATGCAGGGAGTGTAGCAGGCATGCAGGGAGTGCAGCAGGCATGCAGGGAGTATAGCAGGGAGTGAATTAACCCCAGAGAGGGCTTTGATACCTTAAGTCCTTATGGATAGGGATTCCCCTTCCAAACAATCAGTCCTCCCTCTCTCCTCCTCCCTGTCTTCTATAAGCCAACAAAAGTCTTCAATAAAGGAATGTAATAGTGATTTAAATGTTCATTTATTTATTTTATTTAGTTGTCATTGTATTGTGCATTTTTTTTTTCGACAAACCAGCCGTATCCCACCAAGGCAGGGTGGCCCAAAAAGAAAAACAAAAGTTTCTCTTTTTAAATTTAGTAATCTATACAGGAGAAGGGGTTACTAGCCCCTTTACCCGGCATTTTAGTCGCCTCTTACAACAGGCATGGCTTACGGAGGAAGAATTCTGTTTCACTTCCCCATGGAGATAAGAGGAAATAAACAAGAATAAGAACTAGAAAGAAAATAGAAGAAAACCCAGAGGAGTGTGTATACATATGCTTGTACATATATGTGTAGTGTGACCTAAGTGTAAGTAGAGGTAACAAGATGTACCTGAAATCTTGCATGTTCATGAGAGACAAAAAATTACACCAGCAATCCTACCGTCATGTATTGTGTATGTAAAACTACAATTAATCTTTAAAAAAATGTATTTTTCATTAATATTTTTGGGTGTCTGGAATGGGTTAATTTTTTTTTTTTTAACAAGTCGGCCATCTCCCACCAAGGCAGGGGTGACCCAAAAAAAGAAAGAAAATCCCCAAAAAGAAAATACTTTTATCATCATTCAACACTTTCACCTCACTCACACATAATCACTGTTTTTGCAGAGGTGCTCAGAAAACAACAGCTTAGAAGCATATACCTATAAAGATACACAACATATCCCTCCAAACTGCTAATATCCCGAACCCCTCCTTTAGAGTGCAGGTATTGTACTTCCCATTTCCAGGACTCAAGTCCAGCTATATAAAAATAACCGGTTTCCCTGAATCCTTTCACTAAATATTACCCGGCTCACACTCCAACAGATCGTCAGGTCCCAAATACCATTCGTCTCCATTCACTCCTATCTAACACGCTCACGCACGCTTGCTGGAAGTCCAAGCCCCTCGCCCACAAAACCTCCCTTACCCCTTCCCTCCAACCTTTTCGAGGATGACCCCTACCCCGCCTTCCTTCCCCTACAGATTTATACGCTCTCCATGTCATTCTACTTTGATCCATTCTCTCTAAATGACCAAACCACCTCAACAACCCCTTTTCAGCCCTCTGACTAATACTTTTATTAACTCCACACCTTCTCCTAATTTTCACACTCCGAATTTTCTGCATAATATTTACACCACACATTGCCCTTAGACAGGACATCTCCACTGCCTCCAACCGCCTCCTCGCTGCTGCATTCACAACCCAAGCTTCACACCCAAATAAGAGTGTTGGTACTACTATACTTTCATACATTCCCTTCTTTGCCTCCATAGATAATGTTTTTTGTCTCCACATATACCTCAATGCACCACTCACCTTTTTTCCCTCATCAATTCTATGATTAACCTCATCCTTCATAAATCCATCTGCTGACACGTCAACTCCTAGGTATCTGAAAACATTCACTTCTTCCATACTCCTCCTCCCCAATTTTTTTTTTTTTTTTTTTTTTTCAACAAGTCGGCCGTCTCCCACCGAGGCAGGGTGACCCAAAAAAGAAAGAAAATCCCCAAAAAGAAAATACTTTCATCATCATTCAACACTTTCACCACACTCGCACATTATCACTGTTTTTGCAGAGGTGCTCAGAATACAACAGTCTAGAAGCATACACATATAAAGATACACAACATATCCCTCCAAACTGCCAATATCCCAAACCCCTCCTTTAAAGTGCAGGCATTGTACTTCCCATTTCCAGGACTCAAGTCCGACTATATGAAAATAACCGGTTTCCCTGAATCCCTTCACTAAATATTACCCTGGTCACACTCCAACAGATCGTCAGGTCCCAAGTAACATTCGTCTCCATTCACTCCTATCTAACACGCTCACGCACGCTTGCTGGAAGTCCAAGCCCCCCAATTTGTATTTACATTAATTCTTAACAGAAATATGGCTTTGAATTTAGGCCTTTTCGAATTTAGACCGACCTTCTGGAATGGATTATGGCCGATATTTGGGGTTCCACTGTATTGAGTGGTAACGGAAATTTTTGTACAGATACAAATACGTACCACATAGCTAATGCTCACTGATACTGATAATTTAATACACCCCTACATTGTTGTATCATACAAATAATGAAATCACTACTGCTATTAAATACTGCCATCATATTTTTGCCAATACTTACAGAATTTCCACAGAATTTTCCATAGGTTGGTCCTGAGTCACTATAGCCTGAGAACACTTCAACATAATCGTACCCACAATCATGCTCGTCCTCAAGCTCAAAAGTTAGGAATGTAAGGTGGACATTTTCCCCGGGTGAAGCTTGTATGATCCAGTCACAGTCTTCTTTGTTATCATAGTTTTGATCTCCATATTTAGCATGGGAATACATGTGCTTGACAGTGCTAGTAGCCTTAAGACCACCACCACAAACTGAAAAAAAGCAGTAAATTCAAAATGCAAAAATGAGTTAGTTTTTTTTTTTTCACAAGTTGGCCGTCTCTCACCGAGGCAAGGTGACCCAAAAAGAAAGAAAATCCCCAAAAAGAAAATACTTTCATCATCATTCAACACTTTCACCTCACTCACACATAATCACTGTTTTTGCAGAGGTGCTCAGATCACAACAGTTTAGAAGCACATACATATAAAGACACACAACATATCCCTCCAAACTGCTAATATCCCAAACCCTTCCTTTAGAGTGCAGGCATTGTACTTCCCATTTCCAGGACTCAAGTCCGGCTATATAAAAATGGACCGGTTTCCCTGAATCCCTTAACTAAATTACCTTGCTCACACTCCACAGATCATCAGGTCCCCTAATAACCATTCGTCTCCATTCAACCCCTTCCCTATCGAACACGCTCATGCAACATATTAAGATGTGATAAGAGGTAGGGAAAGTTTTTATTGCATTAATTGGATTTTAAAAAAATCATATGATATAGTGGATAGGGAAAGCATTCTGTGGCAATATTGCAAATACAGTAAGGCCCAGCTTTATTGTGTTCGCGCTAATACGCAGATGTCAATTATGACCAAAGTTTCTATATGCAAGCGGTCTTTATTAAATACGCCGCCCCCACCCGGTTTGTTTACATTTTCCTTCGTGACGCACATCTATTATGTCAGGAAACTTTCCAAAATTTCAAGTGTTTTTAAATAGTTACTGCATATTTTATACGTACTCCTGATAATTATACTTATGTGTACCTGTACCTAAATTCCCTTACACAATGTGCTGGTGTGCAGGTACACATTAAAACTGCTAAGAGTCTCTCTACTCATGACGCCCCAATACTACGTAATAATAATCCTCCTTGGCACACTAAATGTCCTTACTTTACACAATTATAAGCATTTTCATTAATCTCTACGATATTTCCCCAAAATTATATAACGAAACCCATTCATAGCATATAAACAATGATACATACACTCACAGAAATAAAATTGATGTAAATATGAGATTTGTTTACAAAGCACACTGTGTAGGTAGTGTCGGAAGAATTTTCTTTTCTCTAGTCAAACACTGGTGGGGTAAACTGTAGAAAAATATTCTTTTCGTAATGCTTTACTCTATATATAGCAATTCATGTCCCTTGTGGGTTTTAGTGCTTTTATTATAATAATAAATTATTATTAATTAAATTATTATTAATAATTTAGTTATTTATTTTATTTATTTAGTAATTAAAACATACATACAGAGGTACAATAAAAATACAGGTAAGAGCAGCATGCAAGCCACTTTATATGCATAGAATAGGCTGGCTTAAAATTACTTAAGATTAACTAAGCAATGATGAAATCATTGATTAAAACACATTATTTAAACAGATAACTATAAAGACAATGAGTAATTACAAAGACAGGTCAATGGTTGCTTGCATTCTTATTTCAGTCGAATGGAGTATTCTGGTTAGGTAGTGTACTTAAAAAAATATATAAAGTTAGATTGGGGTCCCTAGGTTTAACATTTGTGTGATATAATTGGAGTAACAATAGGATTATACAATTATAAAGGTGTTCATATTCGTATACTATTTGGTTTTGGAGTGAGTAAGTTATGTTTGAGAAGAGACTGAATTTATAAACAGGTAGTGTTCTTTTATATTTACAGGTAATGAAATTCAGATTTTAGGGCCTTTTTATGTGCATTGAGTTTTTGCATAGGCGTGAGAATGGACACGGGAACATCAAAGAAGTGATCTGTGCCATGTGTTATGGTCATGTGTTCTGTTGAGGTTTGGCAAGGAGATGTTTGAGGGAGGGTTTAATGTCAGAGTTAAGTTGTTCTATGGTATGTAATAGGTGCAATAATAAGTATGGTGTTTTGTATGAGTGAGTAGGTTGAGTGTTTTGAATATTGTGACTGTGTTGCCTGTAGTGAGAATTTGTTTCATCTAACTGACAGCCTTTTGTTGGTAATTAGTGGTCTGAGATGGTTCATTGTTGTTGACCCCATGCACAAATTCCATAGGTGAGATAGGGGTAAATATAGAGAGTTGATATAGGGCCAGGAGGGCTGACTGGGAACATAGTACCATATCTTCGATAGTATGCCTACAGTCTTTTGGGAAATTTTTCTTAGAATTTGTTGCTATATGTGTATGAAATTTGAGTCCTATTATCGAGGTGGATTCCTAGAATATTCCCTCCTGATAGCATTGTGATAGGTGATCCGTTTATTGTTATGTTAAAGGTCACAACTGTACTCTGTTACCAAACTGAAATGAAGTAGGTTTGTCAATGTTTAGTGTAAGTTGTTAGTCCTCATCCTGGTAGATATTTTTCTGTAATTCGGTGTTTACAGCGTATTGCTAGCGTGACTGGGCTCGGGGTGAAGAAGACGTATGTAGGTCATCTGCAAAAATGGGGTTTGAGTAATTGCGAAGCATTTTGGTAGTCCATTTATGTATAGGAGAAAGAGAAGAGGGCCAAGGGACACTTCCTGTGGGACAACCAAACTGTAAATTGTTCGTCGGAAGAGCTTGCCCCCTTTGCGTACACAAAGTGGCTTCTGTGCTGAGTTAAGAACTGAAGTATTAGGGAGTGCCCTCTAATACCATAGCAGTGACAAATTTCATGGAGCAAGTCATGGTCACCTGTATCAAAAAGCTTTACGTAAGTCAATGAAGATCTCCCATTGGACTTTCTTTATTCTCTTGCAGTGTATATATGTTACTAGTTCTAGCAAGTGTATAATAGCAACATTAGTATTTTTATTAGGCCTGAATTCCAAATTGGCATGGGTTTGAGAATGTTTGTGGAGATGAGGTAGGATAATTCGTTTAAGAATTAATTTTTCGAAGATTTTTGAGAGAGGGTGTAAATTGGAATATTGGCCTATAGTTATTCAACTCTGTTTTGTCTCCTCCTTTATGGATCCGGAGGGTGACCCTTGCATATTTGAGAACTGTTAGGGAAGGTGGAGGATTCAATGGATTTGTTAAAGAAGTGTTGCAATGATTGGTGATAGTACTATTGACGCTTTTTTGTATATAAAGGGTGGCGTAAGGTATTTAAATCTCCTCTTTTTTTCAGTGCGTTGATAATAAGGGAGACTTCATAATGGGTTAGATTCTTAGCTAGGAACAGTGTGTTCCCGGGGTAGTTGCCAGTGAGGTAGTTCTTTGGTGGTGTATCTGAGCTTGGATTTATTGGCATGAGGTTTTGACCTATAGTGAGAAGAAAATCATTCGAGGTCTGTTTGCTGTTCTGTTGGTGGGAGTTGGGGTTCATCTGATTTGCTAAATTTTATTTCTCGCTATGTCGTTTATAACTTTTTTGTTCCCAGAATTTCTGATAGGGTCTTCCAGGGTCTTTTTCTATATCCCTCCGTAAGTTGGATAATCTGTTCACATAATAACAAATTTTTTGCCCTTCTTATCAGGCTGGTTTAGAACTGAAGAGTAACGTTTTTTGTTGGTCACTGTATGATGACCCACTCTGTACTGTCTTTTTTCATATCGGTGTTTTGTATTTATGGATTTAGTGAATGCTGGTGTTAGCCAGGACTGTTCAGGTCCTCTTAGCTGTCCATCTGTTTAGTTTTTTAGCATGCTTGTTATAAAAGGTATTGGGGTCTTTTATAGAAATTATTAAAACATCGTCAATATCTGTATAGATTTCTAGCTCATTGTGCCAGTCAATGTTTGTTACAGCTGTTGTGAAGTTATTAATGGCGCCTCACTTTCATTGTTAAGACTGAAGGTTGACTTTAGTAATGTCTTGGGAGTATTTACACAAGAGTTGTTATGGAGGAAAGTAGGGTAGTGGTCTGTGTATTTCTGTAATTATCCTGATTTAAAGGGGAATGTGTTGGTCCCAGATGTGGTCAAGTAGGGAAACTACACTATCACAGTAACACTTGTAGGTTTTGTTACTTTTGGTAGCAACATGCAGTTACACATAGTTTTGTGAATTCAGTAACGTGTGGGTCCTGTCTGGCAGGAGATTTTCTACTGAGTCACCTAGAGTAAGTAAGTGATCTTTGTTCATGCGTGCATCAGTTATCATACTTCCTAGTTTTGACTAAATGGCAAATGTTTTGATGTGGCACTCGTAGATGTTTATCACTGTGAGAGGTTTTTTAAGTAGTATTTGGAATTTGAATTATAGCTATTAATTATTCCCCAAGTTCATCCCTGTGCCAGTAATTAGTGATACATTCTAGTTGGTCTGAGTAGTATATAGCAGTGCCACCCCCCCTTGTTGGTTCTGGCCTACAGTTGAGTAAGGCTGTGTAACCAGGACGGCATAGACATCTGTAGTATCAGCTTAGCCAGGTTTTCAGTTTAGTGTAAAGAATGGACAAGTTTGGCATTGCAAGGAATTTAGTAATGCTAAGGAGGTCCATCATAATGCTTGTCTAAAGGATCCTGATATTGTAGTTAAAGATAGGTTATGTTGTTGTTAGCTCTGAAAGTTGCCATTTGATTGTTCCTGCTGTGTATACTAACAGTAACTGTTTGAAATCATTTAAGTCATTAAATAGAGGTTGGTATCAGGATCAATGCTTGTAATCATAAGATTTGTATGAATCTATAGTTAAATTAAGTAAAAAATAAAGTAAATCTCTAAAGCTAAAAAAAAATAGCACCTGAATATTTAACAAATGTAAAAATATGAGCTAAGGTAGTTTTCTTTTAAAGCTAAAATAAAGGAGAACAATAAAAAGGATCTAAAATAATTTGTGGTGAACAAATAAAGTGATGGATCAAATACTGGAGCTTGGGATATGAAAAGTAGGTTATACTTTAAAGAAATCTTTAAAGTTAGAATTATAATATTTTTTTTTTTTTTTTTAATTATCACACGGCGATCCCAACCAAGGCAGGGTGGGCCCGAAAAAGAAAAAGCTTTCACCATCATTCACTCAAGCACGGGGGGGGGGGGGGGTCTTGCCAGACGAGTGCTTTACACTC